GAGGCTGATGGACTGAGTGTCGGTGGAGTGGCTGTGGTGAAGTTAACTCTGGTGGAGTGGACGTTGGAGAAGACGTTGATGATGAAGTGTTGGTGGAGTGTTGGTGAGTGGAGGTTGACGGAGTGCGTGCTGCTGGCGTGGATGCTGTCAAGTGAATGTAAAGTGAGTGTTGGTGGATGGGTGGCGGTGGAGCGGATGTTAGGAATGCAGGATTTAGAAAGATAAAATGCACAATACCTGGTACAACAGTGAGTGCTGGATGGATCGCTGGGACTTGTCCTGTTCCGTTTACCCTGAGTCTCAGAGAAGCCCTCACTGGCTGAGAGAGTGGCCAGGCTTGGGTAGGCATGGGCACAGTGCCCCTCTGCTTGTCCAGGAGCCCTCCTGTGTGCAGATGTGTGGCTGCGTGGTGACCTAGTGCTCTCTGCAGGATGGCACGGTGCATCTGGTGTACGCGGTCCTGGAGAGGCCAGTACTGTCACTGGAGGCTATCAACACGTCACAGCTGCAGTCGGGGCTGCAGAGGGTGCAGCTGTTGAAGCCCCACATCTCAGTGCCCACACTGCCCAAGGACCTGAGCACCATGGAGGTGCGGAGCCCCAACATCTTGATTCCTGGCCAGGAGACCACGTACTGGTGCTTCATCACCGAGCTCCCGAAAGACTTCTCGAAGCACCACATCGTCATGGTACGGGCAGAGGCAACCCAGTGACCGGACCTGGGCCTCTGTGACAGAATCCCACAGGCGGATGGTCTCAGCCCATCTTCTCCCAGTCCAGCAGGCTGGCAGGCTGAGTTGAGGGCACCAGGTTGGGGAAGGCTCTCTCTCTGCTGCCTTTGGAGAAGCATCCTTTTCCCTGGGGATCTAGCTCCCTGTAGCGTGCACCTCTCTCCTCACATTCCTGCTTGCTGACTCTATTCCTTTTATATCTTGTAAAACCTGACCTCAACACACACCCTCCATTAATCCGCTTCATTCACAGCCTGCTCCCAAATGCGATTTTAACCAGATGGTCAGAATTTGTAACATATCTATAACAGGAGGACAGAGAGCTCTGGTCGCTGTCCCAGCTCCACCTGCTCCCTGGGCTGGCATCCAGGGCAGAGGGGAGGGCATGATGAGAGGTGGGCACGGGCCCTGGGCGCTGTCGATGGCTCTGGTGGAGCAAGGGTTCTCAGGGCTTGAGATGCTGAGGTGCTCCCCTTGCTGTCTCACCCAAGGCTGCCAATGTTTCCCGGTCCTCACCCCACCCTCTAAGGGCACCCACAAACCACCCACAGCCATGCATGGAGTTGATCCCGTCTCCTCGGGACCCTGTAGGACAGAGGACTACATCCAAGCTTCCAAGACCGCCACCTTCATGGAGATGACTGCCTGTCCCTCCCAGGAGTGGCTGCTGGGTTTCATGCGGGAAACCCCACGGCCACTTCAGTGGTCTTTCAGCTGTTCAATTCGTACACTGTTTAAGAGGGAAAGACGGGGACTGGGGACCAGACCTGCAAGCAGAACAGTGCCTCCCAGACTCGAGATGGAAACGTATACAAATGAGAAAAAAGAGATTCGGCTTCAAAAAATGCGTGACAGGGAGTGATCTTACGCCCGCCTTAATAGATTTTCTTTTATATGAGAGAACTTTGTAAGGATAATAAGCCAGTCTTATAGGAAACTTGCAAACACAGGAAGGAGGTAAAACAAACAGCTCCCTCCAGGTGAGGTGAGGCAGGTGGCAGGTGACTCTGGGAGACAATCACCTCTCCTCAGGCAGCAGTTGGTGTGTGACTGATCAGTGGCTCCAGGTTAGTTGTTCTTTGGTTTTGCAGGGAGGCTGCCTCCAGCTAGGCTGCCTCCATCCCAGATGCTAATACCGTGTGAGGATAACAAAGAGACTTATCAAGGGGGGTGGTTGTGTGAAATTCAGAAGACTCCCATGGAGCTTGCTGGAAATAGTATGAATTTGCAATCTGGTCAGCTTAAGGTAGGCTGCTAAATTTCTGCTGGGCCCAGCAGGCAATGCTTTAAAGCACATTGAAAAAATGACCTTCGAGTTAGTGGTCAGTGCTTAATCCTCTGTGCCACCAGAGCTCTTTAGCCTAGATCAAAGCAGCCAATGTCTTCATTTCTGCACCATCCGGGTCATTTCTGTCTGTCTGTCTGGCCCTTCTCTCTTTTGCGCAAACCCAGCTCTGCTCAGTTTGAACCCGCACCAGGGGGGAGGGGTGGACGCTAACAGTGCTGCTACCTCCTCCTGTGGACTTGGGGGTGAGCGGGGGGAGGGGGGTGTTCCTGATTGTTGCATCAGCGTCCCTGTGCCCTGTCGAGGCCTGTCGGCAGAGAGGCACAAGCCTGGCAAAGCCAAACTGTGCAACATCCAGGAGGACTCTCAGTGGTGCTCGCGTCTCCAGCTCTTTGATAGCTAAGCCCCACCTCCCTGGGGACCTACAGGCCCTGATGGCCTTGCTCAGCCCCTGTCCAGTCCACTTTCATGTAAGGACAGTGCTTCCTATCCTGGGCAGGATGTGGCTGCAGGCACCCTGGTTCCTTCGCTCGATTCACACTTAGAATATGGGCCCCAGAGATGCCTGCCAAGCTGTCCATTTTCTGGATGGACAAACTGAGGTCCAAGGGTTGTCACACTGGTGCTCCAGGTAGGTGAGTGGGCTGAGCAAAGTGTGAGATGCTGAATTCCCAGGCTCAATGTCACCCCTTTGCAGTACGAGCCCATTGTCACCATGGGCAACGAGGCCCTGGTCCACCACATGGAGGTCTTCCAGTGTGCCCCAGAGTTCGAGATCATCCCCCACTTCAGCGGGCCCTGCGACTCCAAGATGAAGCCGGACCGTCTCAACTACTGCCGCCACGTGCTGGCCGCCTGGGCCTTGGGCGCCAAGGTGCCCCCTGCTCGGCCCGAGGGGGTGGAGGGGGCACAGATTTTCTTCCCAAAAGGAGAGGCCAGTGACTCCCATGTACTTGACCCTGGGAAAACCACTATCTCTGTGGCTTTTCTGTAAAAGCACAAACACCCAGGAGTTCATGATTTCACATATACAGAGCTCCTTCCCCTTGGGTTTGGGGTACAGGGGTGTAGACCCCAAAGGGATTTTATCAGGTCTCCTGCAACTCTCCAGGGCAGGGCAAGGGTGAGTGGGATGTGGACAGCCCTGGTACCCATTGTGCGGATGGGCTAGAGGGGGCCTGAGCTGTGGGTGGGCTTGCTGACCGGGAACCCGCCTGTCCTCACGTTCTGGCAGTCTCCCTGGTCTTGGAGCCCATTCCTGACCCTCCTCTACCTTGCAGGCATTTTACTACCCAGAAGATGTTGGCCTTGCCTTTGGGGGTCCTGGCTCCTCCAGATTCCTGCGCCTCGAGGTCCACTACCACAACCCCCTGAAGATCCAAGGTGAGTGGCTCCAGCGGCTGCTGCCCAGGCCCTGGTCACCCACTCCCTCAGGGCACCCCGACAGTCCACTGAAGAGGACAAGCACTGGCCAAGCCTGTGTCTAGCACGCTTACCCACCCGCCAGCCTCAGTGTCCTTGTCTGGTCCGTCACCTCCAGCTGTCCCTCTCCCATGCCTGTTCCTTCCCTGGTGGGATGAGCTCCGCAGGGCCATTCTCCAGTGCCCAGCACTCAGTGGGGCCTCCACACCCCACGTGCCTCCTTCCTCGGCACCTTGGTGTGCCTGGCATCTACTGGGCACTGTCCAAGGTCCATGCAGGACAAAGCAAGATGATAGGTTGTTGCATTCCCATTTCATAGATGAGGAAACGAAGGTCCAGGGAAGAAGGGAGCCCACTAAGACCATAAAATCCACAGTGCTCAGAGCCAGAGGGTCAGCTCTGCACACAGTCCTGTAATGGGCAAGCTGAACTGAAACGCACCAATGAAAGCCTGGTTCCTAAGCTCCTTCCCTGCCTTTCCAAAAGCTTAGAAATGTGCTCAGGCCACCCTCGGTGCACACGCACACACTTACACACACATACACACGCCTCACATTGTAGGGCCCGAGAAAACGGGAGGCTAGACTTGTTGTGTTAGGCGCTGTCGAGTTGATCACGATATGCAGCAGTCCTCTGAACAACAGGTCTGACTCTCCGCTGTCCTGGGCCTTCCTCGCCGTCTCTGACACACTTGAGCCCTGCTACAGTCACCGTGTCATTCCGCCTTGTTGAGGGGCTTCCTCTCTGTCTGACTCTCCACCCTTCCTAGCATGATGTCTGTTTTCAAGACCCGGCCCCATCTGATAACACACCGAGCGCGTGTGAGACCAGGTTTCCTCCTCCTTCGCTCTCCACCTCTGGAGGGGCCGCCCGGAGCTGCTTCCTGCTCAGCCACCATGACTCGAGTGTGAGATTGGTTGTTAGGTTTCGTTGTGTCAGCTACGCCTCCTTGTGACCCTGCCCCATGCCATCCTCATCATCTTCCTCACCGTGTTCCAGGCACCGGGTCTGCCCGTCTCCTTCAAGGTCTTCCTCTCCGTCTACTCTCCATCTTTCCCATCCTGATGTCTTACTCCAAGGACTGATCCCTCCTGACAACATGTCCACAGTGTGTGAGAACCAGTTTCACCACCCTTGTCTGTAAGGCGCGCCATAGCGGAACGTCCTCCAAGACAGACTTGTCTGTGCTTTTGGCAGATTAGATGTGGTGTTGATTATTGTTGGTGTTATGTGCCTTCAAGTCAAGTATGACTCACAGCAACCCTGTGAGCGGCAGCTCTGAGGCCTGTCCTGTCAGTGCCCTCCTCACCTCTGAGGCCTGACCTGTGCCCTCCTCACCTCTGGGGCCTGTCCTGTCAGTGCCCTCCTC